CAAGCATAAAGATGAACAAATAAAGCCAAACAATAAACATAAAATATAAAATGGGTAAAATTACTTTACGCTGCTAAAAGTCAGGATAGGGAATATACTATACTGTATTCACAACATGATGATAAGGAATGACAAGGGGATTTTTAATATAGATGCTAAAACCATGTGTTAAAAAATTGAGCTATACATTTTGAGTATGTGTTCATGTCTATTAAATATTAAACTAAGAAATAAATAATGCAAAAAATTCAGTGTTCCTTGCTAGAACAAAGAAAAATATAAAGAATAAAATTTTAGTACCATGTTAGTAGAGATTAAATTTCCTAGTTGCTATCAATTATATTCTAAATAAAATATAGATGAGAGGAAATAAATCTTAGTATCTCAATGACTTCAATTATAATTTCCAATATGCTTGCTTTAAACTTAATAATTTAAAAAACGCATTCATTTCTGGCAAATGAAGTTAAATATGTTAAGAAATCCTGAAATTAATATGCCTAAAAGGTAAAATTTCTACCATAATATGCATTTCCATCAACTGATTTCTCTCGTATCAAAGTTAGGTATTCCATATCAGTTTATTTTAATTAAATTATTCTCAGGTATTAAATATGCTTCAAATCAGGACTCATTTTCTTAATTTTTGAAGCAATTATGATATTTTTAAATAATGAAGTAAAAATCCTATATCTAATCTAAAACTTTTCATTTCCCTTGCCATTATTATTGTTAGCTGCACATTGAATCAATGACCAATAGTGTTAAAGTTTTTATTATAAAGCTTCAGAATTGGACATATTTTCCTGAAAACAAAGAAAAATGCAATAACCACTACAGATTTTTTTAATCATATGATAAACCTTTTCATTTTGTCATATATCTAACCGTATGTAAGATCTGAAAAGATCCATAATAGCCCTGTTATATTCATAGAAAATCACTTTTCTCATACTAGAACTGGGTGGGCCATGAACAATACAAGATGCATTCTGCCCACTCTGAGAGAGAATCAGAGGACCTACCTGAGCACTGGCCTAGTCCACAGGAAAACTACACAGAACAGGTGACTTTGTGGTAATATCAACTGAAACCCATTAATGAGTGCAAAAATAGTCTCATTCATCATAGATAGGACATTTTTATTCCTGGTATCCCTACATACATCCTTGCACATAAGCACCAAGCATATAAACACCCAGACTCACACTGCCTCATACACATCTCTGCCCAGATGCTTTGCTGTCTGCTGTGAGAATCTTGGCATTGATTTGTTAGGAAATTCTCTAATAGGGCTGGGGCTGATCAATCTAGATTTTCCAATCTCTTTCTTCAAAACCATCCTATACCCCTTGGACTCCTGCTACTGGTGTAATAAGAACTAAGCAATATAACTCTATTACCCCTTATGGGGTGTAACAATATACTAGCCATTGTGTGGTGTGCTAGACTAGTTAAGGTTCTCCAGAGAAGCAGAGCAAACAAGAGACAGAGAAAGGAGATGTAAACTGCTGGTCAGTGGCAAAATATTAGGCTGAAGCAGGATCATGAAGCTGGACGGATATTTCAGGGAGAGGAATGTGCTTCTGATGTTGTGGACAATCCATCTCGCTTTCATGGCCACTGAGTCAGAACTGACTCATATCTGACCCTCAAGGGGGTTTTCAGAGGCTGCAATCTCACAAAATGGCCAAAGTGCCCAACTAATGGTGGCTGGACACATCAGTAAGGAGAAGACATGCTTTTTATGGAAAAATAACATGCTGCATCTGTAAAAGAAGAGATATTACAGAGGAAACATTCAGGGGTCTACTGCACTATTCTAGGAGAGCAATTAGGTGGTTTAAGGGAAGTCTGTGGCTGAAGAGCCTCCAAGCGTACATTACTGAAGTGAAGAGATTAACAAGAGAGATGAGCGGTCAACAGTATTAATTGCTACTGAGAGGCCAGGAAAATAAAAGCTGAAAAGGGGCTCATTGTTTGAGGAAGAAGAAGTTACAGTGATGCATGAGAAGAGTTTTGTGAATAAATCAGAGAATGTCAGATTAGCAATGCCTTGAAACTGCTCTGTACGGGTTAGGAATTTAAGAAATGGCCAAAGAACAAATGCGCTTTTATTCAGGCGGTTTTCTGATCTAATCCTGTCATACTCAATCTGAATCAAACTGGGCTCAAACCAGAATCATCAAAGAATCATTCTGGAGTTAAAGAGGGCAGAGAGAGAACTGGTATTACCACAGTTATGAGCTGTGAGGGGGCACATCAAATGTATTTCAGCTGACATGCTCAGTTACAAAGTTAAATAGCTTCTCCTCCACTTCTGGTCTCTGTCTCAAATTAATCTTTGCCCAATTTGTACTTCATACTTGTGCCACAGGTTTCTTTGACATACATCTGATCATATTATTCCTCTTTGAAATGGTCTTCAAAGGCTCCCCATTTTCTGCAATAAAAAAAAAAATCTAAGCCCTTGATCATGAGGTACAAAGTGGTTCATAATCTTGTCTCTGCCTGTATTTGAACAAACACTGTCAGCTACACGTGGTTCTGCAGTCCCACTATGGGCATGCCTGTGTCCTGCTTTACGCATCATGACACCTCCAGCATGGTTCTGGTAAGGAGCTTCAAAGCACTACACAGCAGCTATGGACTGATCTGTCCCCAATCCTGTACATCTGCGCAATGTACTCAGCAATAAAAGGAATAAACTTTTCATGTATACAAAACCTGAGCAGATCTCAAGGGAATAAAAGACTATCTCAATGGGACACATGCTGCGCTGTTTCATTTGTGTAACTTTCTTAATATGACAAAAATCTAAAGGGAGAGAACAGGGCAGACGGTAGCACAAAGGAGTGAGAATACAAAAGCAAAGCACAGTGTGATGGTGGAGCAGTATTACATCTTGATTGCTATGGTGGTGCCATAAATCTACACGTAAAATAAAAGTGCTGAAAACTGTGCACACGTACACACACACACACACATGAATTCAGGTGAAAAATATACAAGATACCACTACTGGGGAAAGCTTACACAGATGAAGAGTACACAAGACTTTGTATTATATTTTTGCAATTTTCTGTAATTATTTCTGAACAAGAACTTTAAATAAAATGTGGATCTGGGTACGAGAATCTCAGCCTACCCGAGTTCATAACTTGTGCCACTGTCCTACATAGAATACTGCTTACAAAAGTATTTTAGTAAAACGTATCATGCAGCGCTCCCCAGCTCTGTTCAGACAACAACTTCTTGGTCTAGAGATAGCTTTTGCATGAGCATATCTAAATATTCTGAGATTCTCATTCTTCTCAATGTTAGCCATAATTTGTTATGATCCACACAGTTAATACCTTTGCATAGTCAATAAAACACATATCTAGGACAACCTTTTGGTATTCTCTGCCTTCAGCAATGATATCCCTGGTGTCATGGCTTCTTCTAAAACCAGCTTGAACTTCTGGCAGCTCTCTGCCAATGCACTGTTCTAGATCAGAGTTTAGCCGAAGCCTGGGAGTTCTATCCCACCCAGAGGAACATCAGAAGAACAGACTAGATATCTAATTCTGAAAACCCAGCCATGGAAACCCTGGGGAGTAAAGTTACATTCCTTAACATTTCATGGGCTGTCATAAGCTCAAGTCAACTCAACAGCAATGGGTTAACTGAGAAAAAAAAGTTGATTTTTTTTTTTTAAAAAAGAAAGAAATGGAAAAAACCCTTTTCTTTATCTGGAAGACAAATTATCAAATTATTTTATTATACAAAGCCTCCAAATAGGAACAAATGCTGTGTTTTCAAGTAGAAAATGAAAAAATAGCAAGAAACTAAGCCCAGGTGCTATAATTTACAACCAAAGACAACATGGAAAGAGAATGTCAGAAGTTTGAAAGAAAGTGCTTACCAACTGCCCATGGTACCTTGGCATGCTGACAGGGAACACCTGTCATTCCCACCCCTCATTAGAAGTAGCTCTGGACTTTTCAGGTATGTCGCCTTGCTCACTAGAGAAATAAACAGCTGTTCCTCTTGTTAGGAACCAGGCAAACAAATTGCACAGCAGAAAGTTGGGACCAGAGCCATTACCCTGCACATGTGATATGTCTTCTCCATCGACCTGGGAATGTCCAATGAGGCTGTCCATATGACCTGCAGAGCAGGCCAAATCACCAGCATCATAACCAGAGTTGTGCCAAATGCGTTCTGGGAGTGAGTGGAATTTGCTGCCAGTCCTCATATTAAATTGCCATATCCTTATACACTCTGATGGCAGCTGTGAAAACATAACACATGTAGACAAAATATGAAAGCATCAAAATAGTGATGCATTCATGTTTTGCACCATTTTGTTGTCAATAAAAATGACTAAAAGGCACTTTTTTGTATTGGTCAGACAAATAATATTTAAAGCAACAGTATATTTTGTTGACTGTCCAGTTCTCAATGTTGAATATGCTATTGGTCAAAAGTATATTAGCAATTCATTTATAGTTTCACTTAACTAACATATAGCATCAGAAGTTTATCAGGAATGTAAAGCATTGCTGGAAGGTGACATAAAAAGTAAAATGGTTTCAAGGGGAATAGAAACAAGTGTGTTGTTGTTATGTGCCATCGAGTCATCTGCAACTCATAGCGACCCTATATACAACAGCCCTAAATACTGCTCTAGAAACAGGTATAGGAAGAATGACCATTCATTTCTGAAATAGCAGAAAACCCTACATACAATAGAGCACACTTACACTAGCAGAAACAGGTATAGCTGTTTATAGATGAAAGAGGAAGTCGAGGTCACTAGTTGTATTCCAGAGGGCAGGCCTAAGATCAATGACTAGAAATTACAAGAACAGAACAGACAAGACTGGTGAAGACAGATAAGATTATTTTTTTACATTAAAAATTAAAGGTCACAAGTTTATAGAATGTAAGCATGGTAAGTAAATGATGACTTCATAATTACAATGATATCTAATTAAAATCTGTCCTGAAGGAGTTCACAGGACTTCTTCCAAGGGCTTAGCTTCCTGGGAAGCCCCAAAGGCCAAAGGAAAGGAGTCCTCTGTACCCAGGACTAATAACAAACGGCACATAACATCAAAAGAAAGCTCACTGCCCCAGTGCTGACTGGCCACAGGGACCTGGCAGGGCAGCAGAATGCAGCCTCATGGGGTTTCTGAGGCTACAGAGCGCTTCATCTTTCTCCCCTGAGCTCGTTATTTCAAACTGCTGACCTTTCAATTAGGATTCCAGCTCTCAGCCCACTGTACCAGCAAGTCTCTTTGAACGGTCCATAAATACTGGATTCAAGGGAGACACATAGCACACAAGGCTGCCTAGCGGTGGAATTTGACCTGAAAGGCATGATTCACAGAGGATGGGCATTAAATGGCCCAAATTCCCTCACAGAAGAGTTTTGTTTTTCTTCTCCTTCCTTCTTCCCCCCCCCCCAATTGTGATTTAAGTGAAAGTATAAACTTTTTTTTCCTTATAAAAGGCAAATTGATTTTCATTCAACCATTCGTATACATTAATCACAATATCCACCATGTAATCTTGCTTTTCTCCCTTCCTCGCTGTAATTCTGATTTCCGTTAATCTATATTTACCTCTCTGCATCTTCCCTTTCTTTAGTGGGAAGCAGCAAATGAGAAAAGGAGAGTGGAGGCTCACAGGTATCAGAAGAAGGAAAGAGAGAAAAACTGAACCCTGGTTATAGCAAAGCAACTACGGTATAAAGCACCTCAAGCCCCCGGGGAGGAACCAGTGGGATTAACTCCAGACACATCAGCAGGCACACTCACCCCATCACCCCAAATCTGCTTCTCTCTAGTTCCTTTCCCAATGGCAATAATCTTCCTTTTATTAAAACCACCCATTTTTTTAAGTAAAGCATATCCTTACCTAAATCTAGATTTGTTTTTCTTTGGCTTCCAGATCTGCTGCTCAGTCACCAAGACAGTGGCGCATCCTGAACAACGTTCCAGATCTCCGATTCTCTCCATGTTCCTACAACCCCAAGTGTGTTTCCTCATCACCTGAGGAAATCAAAGCATGTCCCTATTCTTGCATCATCCGGTAAAGTGAAGGACGTTATCTGAGTCCTGGAGTGACAACTGAGAAATCCCGTGCCCCTGTTTTCTGAGGAAAAGCTTCCAGCAAAAAAGTATTCTTCACCACACACGGACAGCCCTCTTTGTTTAGCAGTGATAGGCTGGTCTCGCCAAAGTTCATTCTCTACCCCATAAAAATGTGAAAACACAGAAAAATCAACTATCCACATTGTCCATATAGCTTCCACTTCTAAACTGTTTGTCCCCAGTGACTAATTTTGATAAAGTATCTGCTAACCTCTTAATATTGACACTGACGTCAACCAAATCAGAAATATTACCTACTTTGTGACATAACAACACATAATAAAACACATGAGATACATAGCAGCTAGCAACATTAATAAAATGTTACGTTTTTCCTCTGTTTTCCAATTGGAAAGTCACCTATTGTCTGAGTAACAAAATAAAAATGTTTGTTAGAATGAGACACTTAATAGCAAAAATAAAAACCCAAAACCAAACAACTTAGTTTATGGAACACAGAAGTAATTGCCTCGTATTTTAATTTTTATCTGATATAGTTCAATAATCTCTTTCTAATCTAATCAAAAGAAGAAGAAATGTCAGTGAACTGGTATTCATTTGGTCATGAAAGCATGAAATCAACTCTGCCCTAGGTACCAAAGTCCTTTCCACAGGCTCTCGCAACTGTCTGTCATTTCTCCAGTGGTCTAATACAATGATCTCAAAGTAGTCTGGATTCTCTATAGACTTAGGACATTAATCGCAAGGCATAGGAAAAATAAATCTTCACTCCCTTAAATCATGAAGGTAGTGCTAAGCTCTTTCTACACCAGGAAGACTTTTTTTTTTCTGAAATAGTTGCATGCCTATACACAAAAAGATAAACCACAGAGAAATCATCTACTCACCCGCATTGACAATAGCATCTATCTCTAGCAATGTGATGTCGCCTCTGTAAAGAGAAACTTTTTCACTCAAACTTTTCTTCACCTGTGATGCTTCCTGAGTCTCTTCCTCTGTAATGAAAAGAGGATACATTAATAATACTCTTAATTCATTTAGTAAAACTATTTCAATACAAGGGATATGATGAGCCACATTCTGATGATGTGTTGAACTCACTGCTACTGAATCCATTCCAACTCCTAACTATATTCCAACTCTTACAGGATACCACAGAGCTGTCCATAGGGTTTCCAAGCTGTAAACTGTCACAGAAGCCTCATTTTCCCCCAGCAGACCCTTGGTTACCAGGCAAATACCCACAGCACTATCTCTGGATAGCAGGTTGGCAGGCAATTGCTAATACTCATATCAGTTCCTTTCAATACATCTTTATCGTTGTTAGGTGCTGTTGAGTCAACTCATAAGGACCCTAAGAATGACAGATCTAAACCTTGCCCTATCCTGTGCCAGCCTCATCATCTCTGACGTACTTGAGCCCATTGATACAGATACTGATATCAGTCCATCTCGTTAAGGGTCTTCTCCTTCGCTGATCCTCCATGCTTCCAATCACGCTCTCTTTCTCCAAAATATGTTCTCTCCTAATTACATGCTCACACTATGTGAGACAAAGGTTACCAGTCCTTGCTTTTAACACGTTGCCACACACTTTTAAATTGACAACCGTGCTTAGAAACATATTTTGCCATCATTTGCAGCTTAAGAAGCAGCCAGGTTGCACCTTCTCCAAGACCAATCTGTTTGCTCTCTTGGCAGTCAATGGTCTTAGCTAACACCACAACTGAAAGGTATCAATTCTTCTTCCGTCATCCTTATTCATTACCCAACTTTCAGGTGCATAATAAATGATTGAAAAGACCATGGCCTGCATCAAGCGCACCTTAGACTTTAAACTGACATTGTTGCTCCCTAGCACCTTGGAGAGGGCCTTGACTGCAGATTTTCCCAATGCAGCATGTTTACTGATCTCTTAACTGCTGTTACCAAGGATATAAATGGTACAGAAGTACAAATAAGAATATAATTACCAGAGCTATGGCTTATTTTCTATTTATTTTATATTGCTCAATACAAAGGCAGTTTCACGTAAAAATTCCAAGAAATTTAGACATGGTATACTGGTCAGCAAAACATTCAACATGTTACTAAAATATATAAAATGATTATTTTAACTGTTTAAAATTTTCATTCTTTCTTATTATATTCCATTCATATACATTGTGTTTATACAATCTTTCATTTACATTGTGTTTCATACATTTATACACATTATATTTTATACAATTAATTACAATTGATCCATGCCTGTTGTTACTCATCTTTTCAAGTCCTCACTGAATTTTCCCAAGTGCTTCACCCCCTAACCCGCCCACTAGCCTCTGCTATCCTAGAGGTCTTCCACCTTTCTTTTCCCCTTCTCACTTCCTTCCCTTTTGGAGCCTTTATATATATCTTGCACAGTTATCCTTCTACTTTTACAATAATGATCTTAAGCAGTATTTATCCTTAGTTGACTGAGTTATTTCATTCAGCATAATGCTCTCCAGACTCTCCCATGTTACATAGAATTTTACTAAATAGTTGTTTCTTAATGTTGTATGTTGTTGCTATGTGGCATTGAGTCATCTGTGACTCATAGTAACCCTATGCACAACAGCCCTAAACTCTTCTCTATCCTGTGACAATCCTATTGTCCCTGACACACTTACCCCCATTACCCCAGTCACTGAATCAATCCATCTCATCAAGGGTCTTCCTCTCTTGCACTGTCCCTCCACCCATCCAGGAAGGGCATCCCTCTCTAAGGATTGGTCCCTACTTGCAACATGTCCAAAGTATGTCATATGGAGCTTCAGAATCCTTGTCTCCAAGGAGCAGGCTGATCTAACCCTCTCTAGAATGAAGCTGTTTGTTCTCCCAGCAGTCCATGGTACATTCAATACTCTTCTCCAGAATCACAGCTCAAAGGCGTAAATTCTCCTTCTATCATCCCTAGTCACTGTCCAGCTTTCTTACACAATAGCAAGTAATTGCAAAGACTATGGCCGAGATCAGGCACACCTTAATCTTCAGACTGACATCATTGCTCTTCAGTACTAAAAATGGGGGTGGGGGAGTTTACTAGGAGATAAGGCTAAGATGTGCAGCTACCAAAACTATTTTCATTTTCAAGGAAATGACACATTTCTACTTTGCTCTAGTGACCTAAACTTCACTTTATCCACTATTTTCTGGACAACCCTGACTCACAGTGACGCCCTGGGTTTCCAGGCTGGAAGTCTTTACATTGAAGAGACTGCTCATATTTCATTCTTCCCTCAGAGCAGATGGTGGATTCAAACCACTGACTTTTCCGTTAGCAGCCCAAAACCACTGGGGTTCTTTGCAGCCCCACCATGCCTTGTTCAATAAGAAACTCTGAGACTGGACTCAGTTGTGTGTTTTAACTTTCTCCCACTGAGTTGAAACACTGAATTTTGCGTTGGCTGAGAAACATGAAACTCAGCCTGTCACCAGAGCTCCTCAGTTACTTAAAATGCCTCCTTAAGAAGAATATTTATTTGAGTACAGAGACTTTAAGATCAGTTCTTTGTTGTTTCTAAGTAACAAGCTGTCCCTCAGGATGAGCCAGATCAAGGAGACTATCTGAACGTGTGAAATGGCTCCTTTCTTATCCAACTGCATTAACCTTTTACTCCAGAGGGCGCTGGCGGAGTTAACTGTGAGGAATAGCTTTGCCCTGCACACAGCAGCCAGCAAGTCGGTATGTTTAAAACAACCCCAAACCATTATGTTCTAAAACCTGGTTTATCTTTTTAAATGTTTTAAAGCGAGTCTATAAATTTGAATCTTCATTTATTTTTAACAAATAGGAACGTTAACACAAATTAAACCTATAAAACAAAGCTATAGGAAATCAATGCTTTAAAACACGCTAAATTGCTATGTGTAAAAAGCTTTTTAATATACTTCTTGAAAGGCAGATTTATTAACCCAAAATTTTTTAAGTATGTATGAATTGGGCAATCTTTTATAGGGAAATGTAATGCTTTTAACTCACAAAAATACTCCCAGGTGATCATGTAACTTTGCGGTATCTGCTGGATTAGAGGTTAAATTGTCTTTGGACCCCAAAAGGCAAAGAAAGGAAAAAATAAAACTAAGAAATCACAGGCAAAGAAAAAAAATAATCAAAACTAAGAACTCACAGTCATAAGAGTAATTCCTTCTCTTTGTGCCTGCAGAATATTCCTTTTTTTGTAACCATGTCTTTCTTTTTAAAAAAAACTCCAGTCTATTTTCAAGGAAGGAAGGGAGGAAGGGAGGGAGGGAGGGAGGGAGGGAGGGAAGGACGCCACTGCCATTGGGATTCTTATTTTCTACAACCCTCCATCAAGTTTCTGAGACTTGACAAGAAGTCACCGCCCATCTTTCTCCCTAGAGCAGCTGGCGGATTTGAACTATTGACTTTTCAATTGGCAACACATGTAATGTACTACCTCCCCAGAGCTCCTTAATCTTTTATAAACTATTGTGAGCCTACAGTGAAGGTTCAAGCAAGTAAATATAACAAATCAAAAGTAGCTGTGACAAGTAAATTATTCAAAATAGTCTTCGCCAAAATTACCAGTATCATGAAATAATTTAATCTCTTTACTCTCCTGTGGTTGTGCATAACTGATGGTTAGGTCAGGTTACTCCTCAGTCTGTTAGAAGAAAGGCCTGGACATTCCCTTTTGAAAACTCAGCCCTAAACCCCTGAGGTTCTGTTCCTGCATACATGGGATCATGGGAGTTCCAGAATTCAGAATCAAGGTGACAATTTTATAAATATTAATAATTATTACTATTTCCATGAGCAATAAATTAGAACCAGATTGCAGGTTTTGAGCACCATTTAGAGATCATCTCTTATTTGCATATCAAAGTACTTCCTTCCTTTTCATCCAACTGCGCTTAACAGCTCTTATCCCCATGGACTCTTTTCTTCTGTATCCTGGGTTTTTGATGATAAACAGGACACACAGTTGTCAAGCTTTCCTCCCTCACAGACATTCTACAAGTGCGCAAGGCATCAACTGGCAGTCTGCACAAGACTGGTTTCATCTGACCACGAGATGAAATGTCTGCCAATATGCATAAATGGCAGTACTGCTTTTCCAGATTATATATTATTAATATTATGTGACATTCAAAAGTGGTATTTGAAGAAGTATTTTCTTCTGCTTCTTACTTTGAGGATTATTTTTATTAGTTTTGTACTAATTTTATAAGATCCTCAGAAATACTTTGACTCATCACAAGAAAACTGCAAATGACTTTGAAATGGAAAGGAAAAGATTAATGGATGTTGTATCTACTTTATCCATCAGAGTTATCTTTATCTTTTGTTGTCTGTTAACTATTTCACATTTCTGTCATTGGTAGAATTCTCACCTCTGCGGAGAATTGATTCAACTCAGAGCCAGTGCACAGCATGTGCAGACACCACTCATCTGCCATCGAGGCTGGCATGTTCTATGACACTGAACATGTTTCAGCAGAGCTTTAACATGAAAACAGTCTAGGAAGAAAAGTTGGCAATCTACTTCCAAAGGTCAGTCTATGGAAACACGGCAGATCACAGTGGTAGGATCTGCAACAGGTTACGGAGACGCTTCAATATCCAGCATCAACTTTCTTCAAAGGTGTAGAAAATCATTAATAATCCAAATTATTCCAATCCACAGGAATGCAAGCAGATTATGTTTCTAAGAAAGCAAATTATTGTTATCCTATGGACAAGCTGTATACATTTTTATTTATTTGCAAATTTACGTGTGGCTCTTTAAGTTCTCCTTTGAACTAGAACTCATCCACATCAAGTTACAATAGACTCATGGCTGAGCCTCCAAGGTATCTTCTGAGGCTATAAACAGCATGAAAGGATACTGCCCATGCATTTCCATTGGAGCCACTGGAGGATTCAAGGCACCAGGGAAGCAAGTCCATAGGCAGCGTGACTCCTTTTTGACTATGCCACCATAGAAATAGAATTGTTGGTAAGTGT